ATCAGTTTTTGGTTATATCTCTGTATTACCAGGTGCATTCTCTGCATATCGATTTAAAGCTTTACAAAATACATCCCCTGGTAAAGGTCCTTTAGCATCTTACTTTAAAGGTGAAACTATGCACGGTTCGGGATCAACTAATGTCTTTGATGCCAACATGTACTTGGCTGAAGATCGTATTCTATGTTTCGAACTAATTGCTAAGAAATATGAGGCATGGAAATTGAAATATGTCAAGGTATAAATAACCATTATTTCGTTCGTTTCGTGTTCATTATTATTATATTTGATATTAAAAGTATATAATATTATATTTATTCAAATATTTAGTCTGCTAAAGCAGAAACAGATGTCCCAGATAATGTACCAGAATTTATTTCCCAACGTCGTCGTTGGTTAAATGGATCTTTCTTTGCTGCCTTCTACTCTGTTGCAAACTTTACGCGTATTTGGACTTCTGGACAACCATTTTACCGCATGTTAATGTTACAACTTGAATTCATGTATAATGCCGTTCAGTTACTTTTTAATTGGTTCGCCTTGGTAAGATTTATTACCAACCATTTTTATTACTTATAATTAATATTATATTCACATTTGACTCATTTTCTTCATTATAAATAGGGTAATTTCTTTTTGGCTTTCTTCTTTTTGACTCAATCTACCACTCAAAATCCGAATACAGACCCTTTCGCAGGTTATGGAAGCGAGATATTTGACATTTTCCGATCGTTATATCTGATGGTTATTATAACGATCTTCATTTGTTCGATGGGTAATCGCCCTCAAGGATCTAAGCTTATATATACACTTTGTATCATCCTTTTTGCAGTTATTATGTCAATTATGCTTTATTGTGCATTCTACACAGTATATCTAGCATTATACCATGTGAAGCCTGCAATTAATTTCAAGAATTTTTCGAGCATCCAAAATGCTTTAAAAAAGGCAGCATTTCGTGATATCGTAATTTCTATTGTTTCAACTTATGGATTATATTTTTTTACGTCCTTCATTCATGGTGAACCATGGCATATGTTTACTTGTTTATTACAATATATCTTACTTGTTCCTTTCTATGTCAATATTCTCATGGTTTACGCATTCTGCAATACTCATGACGTTTCATGGGGTACAAAAGGTGACAATGGTAGTACCGGCAATTTGAGTAGCGCACAAGCAGTAACCGGAAAAGACGGCAAACAAATGTTTAAAGTTGATGTTCCCACAGAAAGAGATGATATCAATGCTGCATATGATAAGATTACAAATGAGCTAAGAGTCAAGGTTCACAAAGAGAAACAACATCGTGACGTTGCTACGAAAAAGGATGATTATTATAAATTATTCAGAACAAATTTAGTACTTGCATGGATGTTTTCAAATGGTTTCCTGATCTTATTATTTACGTCTAATACTTGGCAAAGATATGTTAATTCTATTAGCCCTGATAGTGCTTACAATCCTTATTTGACCTTTGGTAAGCTTTTATTCGTTTATACGTTTTATTAATGATCTTTTATGAAATTTTTTAAAATTTATTTCTATTTGCTTTTAGTATTTTGGTCGGTTACGGGTTTATCAGCAATCAGAGCATTTGGTAGTATATGGTACTTGATTATTCGCGCTGTGTTTGGATAGAATTATATTCAAATTAAAAAAATAAAATTTAATCAAATATATTTGGGACGTAAGATTTTAGTACGTACTTAATTAGTTGTACAGTAATTAGTTTTCTTATACTATAATATCTACTTAATAAAAATTAATAATTCAACTTAGAAGTTACTCATTTTACTATATTTAAATATTAGTTTGTGAGAAGTTAACTGTTACAAGTCTATTCTATCCACTTTACACAGCATATATTTTTATATTATATGAATTGAAATAAAGCAAAATTACATTTGTAATAAAATCAATTCTATACATAATTAAAATCAAATTGGTGAGTGTAAGGCCACGCAAAGTTAATTTTCGTTTTGCATTACCCACTGATCCATTTTTTCAATTTTTCAAAAAAATTTTTTTTTTTTAAGTTCCAATTGTTCTATTTTTGCCGTTTAATTTTTTTCCATAAATTAATCCGATATCACCCGATAGAACACTTATTTTCCGTAATTGTCCGATAGAGCTGATAAAAAAATTCGGGTAGGGGGTCATAGGCAGACATTCGTATGATTGGTTAATTTTTGTAGATCTACCCGTGATTTCCCGTGATAATTAACCAATCAAA